GTCAATCTTTCTACAATTTTCAGTTTTCTTATTAGATAGTTCATTGTACATTGAAACTGTGCAGAGAGTATTTTGTGTTCGTATATAAAACATAGTTAGGCTCCAGTCTCAGAAAACTGTAAGTAGAATTTTCCTCTGCACCCAGACCTGGTGGGACTTCATAGTCCTGTGGGACACTGGACAGTTCTTTGTTGTGGTCATGTGCCTCAGATGTTGCAGAATGTCTACATCACTGCCCCAGAGGGTGCTTCCCAGTTATTGACACAACCATAAACATCCCTCAAGCTTCCACAACTCTCTGAGAACCAGTGACCTAGAGGGACTGAGGAAGAAGAGCAACTGTGGGTGGAAGCTTCCAGAAGCACGTTGTATCAGAGCCCACTGCCGTGAGCAGAAAGGTGTCCGTCCCTGGGAAGGAGCCACCACCATCAGATTGCATCCATTGAGCTGAGTTTGCAAATGCGAGAGTGCTGAGTGGACACAAATGGCTCATGTTCTATATGGCAAAGAAGACAGGAGCTGCACGCTTTCCTGAGATAAGACATGTTCAAGATGCTGCCTGAGACATAATCATACATCTTTCTAGGCATAAATTAGTGCCAGTGATGTTTCTGCGATGACAGTCAAATGAGACAAGGTTGCAGCCTTGTTCTTGCTCCTCCTGGAGAAGAGCGAGGAGTAGATGAGATGGGCCCGGCTCTTCCTGTCTGCCGGCAACTTCTCAGCTTCTTCTGCACCAGGCCTTACTCCATTTACTTGTTAACTTGCTTGCAATTAACTTTTGTGATTTCTAGAACATCTTTGAGGTCTCAGGGCTCTCTTACATATGGTTCTCCTGCTCTCTCACCTACTTTAAATGACCCTTCCTCAGGGAAGCCCTCCAGGACCCCAAGGCAGGGTCACAGATGGTCCTTCCTTTCATGCTCTCATATCACCCTGAACTTCTCTGTTAAAGCTCCGACCACATTCACTACACAGTGATTTCCACTTATAGTCCGCTTTCCCTGACTTGGTGTGAACTAGTCCCCTTCCCCAGCACGTGCTTGACACCACGCAGACTCTCAATACTTGTCAGATGAATGCATGTGAGTCAAAGCGAAGAGATTTTATTTATTTTTATAAATAATAGAGTATGCAGGCCAGGAGTCTATGGTAGGTTAAGCTAACTAAGAACTACAGCGAGGCACAAGTGAGTTCTGAAAGAAAGAAGGAAATCTGGAGTGTGGAGAAATTTACAAGCAACCATACGACTGGTGGCTTGACTTGCTGCAATTCCGCTGGTGCACTTTGGGTCTATTACAGACACCGGGGAGGGGGGGGTGTCAGTGGCCGAGCAGCAGGAGGAGATGCACAGACAGAATGAGAGCAGCTCCGGAGAACCAGATGCAGGGTTTCAGCAGGTGCAGGTCAGTGTATCAGTTGGTGAGTTGGAAGCAACACTGAGACTTTTGTCCCGTTGGGAAGTGAATTCATATTAAGACAGGGCCCTGTCTCGCTTTCCAATGTCCATTGTCTCTGGACTTTGGAAAAGTTTATGAAGTCCCTTCACCTCACCTATAAATGGGGACATTACCTATCTCAGCTCCTGGCCAGGACGCAAGGCCTCTGTAGATTGTAAAGTACGATACAAGTGTCTGAGTGGCTGTTACTGTCATTAGATCCTAAGCAGGTTTCTGCACTGCCTGAGATGCGCCTACAAACACTGGCCCACACACTGCAACACTCATCAAATATATTGAGCACCTGCAGCGTACACCTTCTGGGCCTGAGAAGGTACGATGAACAAAGCCAAGCAGGTGGTGGTAAGTGCTAGGGAGCAAACAAAAGCTGGGTCAGGGGTTAGAGAAGGGTGGAGGTGGGGACTGTGCTATTTCAGCTTGGCTGTCAGGGAGCAGTGACCATTGAGTAGATATTTGACAAAGTGAGCCAATGCACCATGCAGGTGTTAGCAGGACATGTGTGAGGTTGTTATTTAATTTAATCCTTTCAATAACCCGGAAGGGCAGATATTTTTATGTGAGAGGAAACGGAAGCACAGGAATGAAGCTGTGTGCCGCAGCTAATACAGGGAGTGCCCAGCCAGGTCCACGTCCTCCCAATGCTACTCTCCATCCCAGTCTCGGCCTCGCTCTTGTCATCCTCAGCTGTTATCCTGTCCCCCTCTCCTTCCCATCATGGTTACATGATCCTTTCTTCCACATTCTCTGTATTTCCCTTAAGTAATGGATAAAGCGGAGAGGGAGTGAAGAAACCTGGTGATGTGATGTGCACCTATTTCTCTCCGTCTCCCTACCACCTCCCTGACCCAGGTCACCACCATCTCTTGCTAGCAGAATCTCCCAACTACTCTCCCTGCTTCCAGTTCATTCTCTGAGCAGCAGCCGGGGTGATCTTTAAACATGTAAATTGGATCATGTCATTCTGCGCTTAAAACCCTCCAGTGGCTTCCCACGTGCACTCAGAATAAAATTCAAACTTCTCACCCTGCCTCACACCTGGCAGGACCCGGCCCCTTCCTGCCTCTCCAACCTCGTCCTGGCCTGCCTTCCCCCTCATGCACTCAGGTCTTAGCTGAGTTCCTCAAACACGTCATGTTCTTCCCTGACTCTGCATCTACCTAACGTTTCTTTGTTATTGAGTCTTCAAATGAACTGTCACTGAGCAGATGAGCTGCTCCTAGTCACCAGCCTAAATTAGGTCTCGCCTGTATTCCCTTTCAGCCTCTAGAGCCCGATAGACTAAGAAGACATGGGGATAGGGGCTGGCGATGGAGGCCGGCTTTCCTGTGGCCCCAGTCATCCTGCCTCCTGGTTATCAGGCTCCTGAGTCATTCCCTCCTCTGCAGTGTCATCTGAACTCAGTGATTTGAATCAATAGAATACGTATGGTGAAGGTGACGGGATGTCACTTCCGCAATTAAGTTACAGAAGACTGGGCCCTTTGCCTGGCTGGCAGACTCTATTGCATTCTTGGCTCACACACGGATGAAGCAAGTTTCCATACTGGAGAGACCCACGCAGCCAGGAACTGGGGGCGGCCTCCAGTCAGCATCCATCCAGGAACTGAGGCCCTCGGTCCATGCCCTCAGGAAACCGAGTGCAGGAGCCGGGCCTTCCCCCGATGGGCGTTCCAGGGAAACCACAGATTCCTGCTGATGCCTGGACTGCAGCCCTGTGAGAGGTTGTGAGGCAGGAGACCCAGCTGAGCCGCACTTGATTTCTGACCCACAGAAACTGTGCGATCATAAATGTGTGTTGTTTATGAAGCTGTGTGCCGCAGCTAATACAGGGAGTGCCCAGCCAGGTCCACGTCCTCCCAATGCTACTCTCCATCCCAGTCTCGGCCTCGCTCTTGTCATCCTCAGCTGTTATCCTGTCCCCCTCTCCTTCCCATCATGGTTACATGATCCTTTCTTCCACATTCTCTGTATTTCCCTTAAGTAATGGATAAAGCGGAGAGGGAGTGAAGAAACCTGGTGATGTGATGTGCACCCAATGCTTTTGGGATAATTTGTTGCACAACAATAGGTAACTAGTATGCTGTCTGGGCATTCAGTGAAGGAATGATGGCCTTGGCTGTGCCTTGGACATCCTGAGCAGGGTCGGGGAAGGCCATGTCCACAGGTACCAGGATCAAGCTCCTAATCTCTGTAAATCTCTGTAACTCTCGGCTCTCCCTGGGCCGTATCACAAGCTCTGAAGAGGTCGTTGGCTCCCTGAAAAGTGACTTTTAAGCAAATGACCTTACCTGTGACCTTTGACCTTTCTACAGACTACCTCTTCACCCTCCTAAGATCCAGTGGTCTCCTACTAAGATGAATTTCAGAACCCAACATGCATCGTTTCCGACAACACGAGAGTTCTCCACCTGCACAAACAACCCCACCCTTTCCCCTGGTTCCCGGGGATGCCACACTCAGGGGATAATGAGTACACATCATGAATATACAGGATGCCATACACAGTGCCATAAATGCTTCCAATAGAATTAATACACTTACCAAGCAGTTCAGCTTGAGGCAATTATTGCACTTCCTGGGAGATACAAATTACTTTGCCCTCAGCCTCATGCCAAATAAGCCCCCTAAGACACACACTAATTACCCAGAAATACACTGCCTGCCATAGCTCATTGACTAATTGACAATCAGTTTAAAACTTCAGCAAAGAATCTTAAAACTTAGGCGTCACGTTCAGCCAGGAAACCCATTTTGTTTATCTCCTCATTTTGGTCTGCCTCACTGGCAAAGTTGTGGCAGAGTTTGTGAGTAATGACCGAGCGGGCTTATTACAGTGCTCGACGGTAAAGGACCAGCGTTCCATCATTCTATCTAGCATTCCCATCGCTCATTTCTGTGATTCTGTTAAGAACAATTACAATATGATACCTGTTAATGTGATACCAAACCAGAACGCAACCGTGTATGCAATAGTTACTGCTAGTGTGGTCTGTGGAGCTCAGGGGGCAGCTCTCAGCGGCTCCTTTCTCCTCCTCTTCTGTGCTCTGTGCCCCTGGCATTCTGATCCAAGCACATGCACCTACTTTATGAAGCTATATGAACCCAACTCTGCCTTAATCTAGTTACTAATCACCTTGATTATTCCAGGAGTGGACATACTACTACAGACCCTTGTCTTGGATTTCCTAAGAAAGTCCAATCTTACAGGGAAGTGGGTACAAATATCAAACAACTGATCTGTAATTTAATATTTGGGACTCAAATCTTTTACACATTGGAGATTGCTATTGTGGGCGGGGCAGAACAAACCTGCAGGAATATAGAGTTATAGGAGGGACAATGGCTGTGAGATTGTGGGACTGGCATTTTGTCTGGCTGCAACCACAGATTATCCAACCAGGAGTGGCTTGAACAACTAGGGAATGACTTCTCTCGCAGAACAAGGCATTCAAAAGCAAGAAGTTGGGGGCTGGTGGTGTGGCTCAGTGAGGGCCTCGCAGACCCAGCCCCTTTTGTTTTTCTCCCCTCCCATCCTTTGCAGGTGGCTGGCTGCCTCGAGCCCTGGAAAGATGGCTGGAGAAGAAGTGGGGAGGGGTGTGTGCCAGCTGTGCCTCACACTTCGATCAGGAAAGCACAAGCTCTGTCCCAAACCTCATCAGACTTCGCTCGGGTCTCATTAGCTACACAGTGGAACAACTGTGTTACACTGGCCACACTTGGCTACAGGGGAGGCTTGGAAGCTGCTGGGCACGGTGTTCTGGTAGCAAGGGGTGAAGGGCTCTGGAGGGGGAAGCGATTGAGTCTGGCATAGCTGGAGAAGGTCTGAGAGAACAGGGGCTGGAATGTGAGCGCTGGGTAAGATTTAGGAGGGAGACTGGAGAAAAGAAGGGACCTTGGGAGTAACTTATGGAAACAGTGGCCCGTCTGGGAGGCTGTGAGAACTCTGCTCCAGGAAATTTTTGTTCTGGGAAGTTGGAAAAAAGTCGGCCCACTGATGTGTGTCCAGTTCCCGGAGGAACCTCCTGCCCTCCCTCATCCTCAGCACATCCCCGCCCCCTGCTCCCTTCCCAGTGGCTCCCTGGTCTGATTTAAGTGGGCTTTCTGATCAAAGAGAACAAAATCTTAAGGGGATTCTGCTCCTTGCACGTTGATCTTTCCCCTAAAGCCCGTGATTTCCAACATTGGCTACACATTGCAATAACTTGGGGGAAGTTTTAAAAATCCCAGTACTCAGGCCACTTCCCAGACCAATTAAGTCACACCCTGGGGGTGGGGTCAGTGGTGAGTTGGGGAAAGTGTTAAACTGGCTCTTTAGGAAAATAAAAGCATGCATATATGTACAGAAATTTATTCTAAATTTTACTAAAGTAAAGGATGTGTAGCCTACACCTTTCAAATGATAATAAAATATATAGTATTCTTTATTACAGGACACTCTAGCCCAGCGGTTCTCAACCTGTGGGTCGCGACCCCTTTGGCGGTCGAACGACCCTTTCACAGGGGTCGCCTAAGACCATCCTGCATATCAGATATTTACATTACGATTCATAACAGTAGCAACATGACAGTATGCTTTCCTGTTTTTTTGTTTTGATTTGTTGTTTTTCTTTTCTTTTTCTTTTTCTTTCTTTTTCTTTTTTTTTGCAGAACTCTGGTGTTTGTAGTTAACATATGGCTGCAATTCGACTGTGATTTCACAAAATCAGACTGTAAATAAATGCTCGGTTACTGTCCAGATTCAGTCACTGACTCATGATGCAGTTTCAACATGAGTGCTGGTCGCTATTTTTGATGATGTATGTTGGAACTTCGCTTGCTCATCAGTGAGGCGAGAGACTGCTTTGCCAGTGGGGGTCACAGTTTTCAAATACCGTAAGAGCATTTCCTCAACTTTCTGTGCCATTCACAGTATAACGGTTTCAGACGCGATGCACTTTTAAGTTTAATTTGCATTATTAACATCTTATCCATCACTTTCTTAAGTCTAGACTAGGGGTTGGCAATGTTTTTTAGTAAAGAGCCAGATAGTAAATATTTTATACTTTGTGGACCACAAATGGTCTCTTCCTTCCCCTCCTCCTCACTTATGTATTTTTTTTTAACAGTCCTTTAAAAAGGGGAAAACTTGTGGGTTATACAAAAACAGGCTGCAGGCCAGATCTGGCCTGCGTGCTGTAGTTTGCCGACCCCTGATCTGCACACTCAACACAATAAATCCAGCCCTGATTTATAGCGTTGGCTGATTTCTGTGGTGTAAATAGTCTGCAAGCCGTCAGTGTGACAGCCCTGAACATGGGGCTGAGGAGCCGGGCACAGCAGCACCTCGTGCTTCTCCAAAGGCAACCTCGGGAGCACAGATAGCAGTAAAATAATTAGAAAGTGACACATGTTGAGTAGTTATTACCTTTATTTTTAATAAGGCATTTAATTATAAGCTTATATAATCTAATTTCAAATAATGCTGTCTTCAACAGCTGGCTCTGAAAATTTAGCAGTTTAAGAACTGGCTTCAGCACACCCCTCCCTAGAAGAGACCGAGGCCTCTTCCTATTTTATTTTAGTTTTCATTATTTTTAAATAGACTTTTCTTTTAAATTTATTGATTTAGAGAGGGAAAGGAGAGAGAGAGAGAGAGAGAGAGAGAGACATCTATTTGTTGTTCCACTTATTTATGTATTCATTGATTGATTCTTGTATGTGCCCTGACGAGGGATCAAACCTGCAATATTGGTGTATCAGGACAATGCTCTAACCAACTGAGCTACACAGCCAGGGCTAAATAGACTATTTTTCAGAGCTCTTTTAGGTTCACAGTAATACTGAGCAGAAGGATAGGGGGAAAAGATTTCTCATTTCCCCCTGTCCCCACACCTGCACAGCATACCCCCAATTATCAACATCCCTCAACAGAATGTAACAAATTGTACGTTTGTTACAACCGATGAACCTTCATTATTATCACCCAGAGTCCATAGTTTACATAGGTTTCACTCTTGGCGTTGTGCATTCTATGGGTTTGGATAAATTTATAATAACATGTATCTATCATTCTAGTATCATGCAGAGTAGTTTCACTGCCCTAAAATCCTGCTACCTGCCTATTCATCCCTCCTCCCCCCAACCCCCTGACAACCACTGACTTTATTTTCTCCATAGTTTTGCCTTTTCCAGAATGGAATCATTTCCCAGAATGTCATATACTTTTCAGATTGGATTCCTTCACTAGGTAATATGCATTTAAGTTTCCTCCATGTCTTTTCATGGCTTGATAACACATTTCCTTTTAGCACTGAATACTATTCCACTGTCTGGATGTACCACAGCCTCTATTTTTTTTAAAGCTCCGCAGGAGATTCCAGTGAATGGCCGCAGCTCTCAGGGCATCTGGCCCTTTTACAACTTGAGTCGAGGGCCAGGGATGTGGTTTCTTCCAAGCCTCTCAATGGCAGTTTTTGAAGTCTTTGGTTCATCCTTGGAGGTTTCTCTCTTTGCCTATCCCAGTAACAAACCCATGCCCTGTCCCCCCTGAGTCACTGCTGCCCTGCCGCCTGCCCAGCTCTGTGGTTGCCTGCTCCAGTGAGCCACCTGGCAGCTTTTCTGCCTGAGCAAGTCCTCAGCCTCAATCTTGAACGTGTATTTGCAACTCTCGGGCCGCTTTCCCCAGCCTTCCTCCTGGGACCAGTGTCTGGCATACAGTCGGGGCGCCGTAGCTATTAGAAGACGGAGCCTTCCGAGGACACCCCAGGTCCCACCATGGCTCCATGGCAGGAGAGCCAGGTTCTGGAGGGCTTTCGTGGATCTTAGCCTGTTTGATCTTAGGTCCATCACCCAGCTTCTCCCACCCTGAACCTCGAGCCCCTGAGCCCCTGCAGGCTTCCCCGTCAGCAAGCACCTGGGTAGCGTGGTCTGTGGAAGATTGGAGAGCAGTGGAGAAAGGGGCCAGGATATTCTTGCCCTTTCCTCCTGCTTTGGGCAGCGTCACTGCAGTGGCTACACCCTCTCCCAGGCCCCAGCCCCTGCCTGGCAGCACTCGCTTTGATTGTGGCCCCTCCTGGCAGCCTGGCCTCCTGGGCTCTCCCTCTGTCCCTCCCGCCCAGGTACTGGCTTCCTGCTGGTGCGCCCCTTTGGGCTGCCTTACCATTCCCTTCACCCTTTCACCCGTTCCAACATCTTTGTAACAGCTCCCTTCTATTAAATTCCTTCTCTTGAGCTCTTTTCTTAACAGATTCAGATTCAGTCTGAAATGCTTTACTGAGGATTCTGAGCTTCATGCTTTATGGCAGTTGTAGGACACAACTAGAGGTTTTTGAGGCGAAAATGCATATGATCAAATGGAAGAAATGGGTGTTTTAGGAAGATTAAGTTAGTAAAGGTGGAAAGAATGAACTGGAGGTTCAGGGGGTCCCTAGAAGATTTGTGGATAGCATTTAGAAGCCTGTTAACACTCTTTAAATACATGCAAATTTTTGTGTATATGTGTGTAAGTGGCCTTTTTTTTTTTTTTTTTTCTGGGGAGAGAGCCCATACCTTTCATTAGATTCCCTATGGGATTCCAAAATATGTTAAAAACTACTGGGCTAGAAGTAGGAAGACCAGTTCGGAAGCTAAGCAATTCAATGTGTCAGTCAGGGTCCCAGCAGGAAGTAGAATTCATTGAGATGGTTCGGATGGCAACTTTAAAGAAGGGACTACATTCAGAAGTATGGGCAGGGTTAGGTGAACAAACAAGACATGTGCAGGCACCCAGAGATCAGCCACAGTGGGAAGCTGTTGGCCTCTGAGGACTAAGAGGCAAAAAGGAGGAAAATGGAATGACTTGGCCCAAGACAGCAGGCGCCCTGGGGGAGGGCTTGGTGGAAAAGAAGTGATGGCGGGATTAGCTGCTTCAGAGATGAGGAGTAGAAGCAGGGTGTGAGGAAGGAAGGCCTACTCCGCCTCTGGCCTCCTACCCTCTGATCCGCCACCAACCATTGTCAGTGTCCGCCCCCCCCTCCCCCCTCCGCCAAGAGAGCGTGGGCAATGTGGTCTGCAGGGCTGGAGCGGGACAGCAAATGTGGGTAAATGGATGGACTGGGCAGAGCAGTGTGAACGGAGAATCGCCAACACCCAGAGAACACATTACTTAGACCTTCCAGAATTGTCTAAGAAAGGGTTCCATATAAGTCACGTTTGGTAGCTCCGGGCACCAGCACTTGCTCTCTGATTTCTGGCTTCTGCTTGTGATCAGACTCTCCCACACTAATGTGGGCCTTCCCAATAAGGCCAGAGAAAGAGAAGCAAAATACAGAGGAGTTTTGTTGTTGTCGTTAACTTTGTTCTTCTACACCGCTTACAAGCTCTTTGACCTTGGAAGTCACAAATGTCTCTGAGCCTCCCTCATCCATAAAGTCCAGGGGTTGCATTTGATGTTCCTTGTGATGCCTTCTGGCTTGAAAGTCCTGTGATTCTTTAAGGGACGTCTTTGGCTTCTTCCCTATGAAGGCGGTTAGTGTTCTGGCCCCTTCCAAATAGGTGAGCAGCCCGCCCTCGCCTGCCGTCACCTGCAGTGGTTTGAAGGCTGGACAAGAGCACGGGCGACAGGCCTCTGTCCCCCCGAGGAACAGACTGCAGCCTATTAGCATTTTATCGACTTTGGCTCTGCCGTGGGTTGTTAGGATTTGCAGTGATATGATTTCATACACATTTGAGTCGAAGTGTTGCCAAGGCAAAGGAGCACCAATTTTGAAGATAGGTTTGCACTCGAGTGTGTGCTCTAGGGAGAGACCTAGTATAAAGGAAACACACCCAGCCACCGTGCTTGCTGTCCGGGGGGAGGGAGTTGGGAGTATTGCTGAAGGAGCAGCTCTCTTTTGTACGCATTTCAGAGATTTAATTTTACCAGCCGATGCAAATGATCTGTTCCGCACATGTAAAACAAAAGGACAAGAAAATGATCCCTGTGTCAACATCAGGATGTCTGGCTTAAAATCCCATTCAAATAGCTCCCTAAAAATGATCAGACACTGAATACATTATTTTTCTGACTTTGACAAAACCAGTCTGCAACAAAGAAGCAGCCCCATGAGGTTACGGATAAACCAACCACGTTAAAACTTGGGCATTTTCATGTCAGTCACAGATTTTCTTAAGGGCCAAGTCACTGTTTAAGGACTAATGTGTTTGGAGAGGGGAAAAAAATCGCACTGTGTTATTAGGCAGAATCCCCTTTATATACAGGGATTGGTTCAGTTTGACCCTGATTGTGTTGCCTGCTTTATTGTCCTACTTCAAACACGGGGCCCTGGGCATCATCTCAAGGAAAGGCTGATTGAACTGTCGGCCTGACACTTGTCAGCTGTGGATAATACGGGTTTCAGTCCGTCATGCTCACACATAAATGAACCATGACAGAGATAGACTGTTGAATAGAAAAAGCAGTTTTACTGTGGATAACCTTTCTTG